CCTGCTTGTGTTCCCTCTCTCTCTGTGTCTCTCTATGTCAAATAAGTAAATAAAATCTTTAAAAATAAATAAATAAAATGCAGATCTTATCATACCATTCCCCCACCCGATTTAAAAATTCTCCAGGGGATCCCCTTTATCTCCAGGAAAAAATTAAATTTCTTCAGCTTGGCATAAGCCCACCAGGGTCTGGTTCCTTTCTGCCTTCTCCTAAAGTTTTATCTCTTCATATACCTATAAGCTCCAGCTACCCATGGAATTCCCTGAATGGATCACAGTCTTCTGGCTGCTCCCTCGGTCCAGAGTTTGCCATTTTTTTTAATCCAATCTTGCTTGCCTGGCTGATACCTATGTGGCCTCCGGTGGCTCTGATGTCACCTCCTCGAGGGAGGGCCTTGTGTTTTGTACATTCCTCTCCTCTGTGCTTTCTTAGCACCCTTGTCACCTCGACCGTCATGCTTGCTGTGCCTTGCAGTGGCTGCAGATTAGCCTTCATCTTCCCTAATTAAGGGAAAGCACTGCATTTTCTCTCTCTTGATAGAGCCTGTCACAGTGCCCGCACTCAGAAAGCACCCAGCAAATTGTGAATGAGTGTTTCAAGCGCAGCCATCTTAATTAATTATAAAAACAAACAAATCGCCAGAAAAACACTCAGAGGGCACTAAAGCATAAGCCTGAAGGTCACTTAGTGTATCCCATTTGGAGGAATTGTTTTAATTTACTTTTTATGGCATTTAGGTAAGTGGCAGGGGATGGGAGTGACATGGAGGAAACAGGTGTGTGAAAAGCACACAGAGACGCCTTTGCCTTACAAATACACGGATGTGATGAACTGAAACATTGAGATTTTTATTCAAAAGAGTTTGTAGGACTCATGATTCACTGGGACATGTACAGGAAGTGTTTTAAAAGATCCGTTCTTTCAAGCTAAACAAAGCCTGTCTGAGATAACAACCAACATTGGCCACCCTGGTGTTTTAGGAGCTACTAACCGTTCTCAGAGGGAATGGCCTTGGGCAGAAAGGACAGATAAATGACAACATGTTTCCTGGCTTTTTAGTCCAGTTTATTTTTGTTCGGTAGGCTTTTCTGATGATTTCATTGTAGTTGTGTCTAAAGCTCAATGCACGTGTATGCTTTCAAGGCATAGTATTGTAGGGTTTTCGGGATCTCACTTGGGTGGGGAATAATGCTTCATCCATTGTAGGGCAGTTTTCTGGATTATGAAGTTGAGTCAAAAAGTTATTTCCTGGGGCACCCTGGTGTCTCAGTCTGGTTAAGCGTCCGGCTCTTGATCTCAGCTCAGGTCAATGTCTCAGGATTGTGAAATCAAGCCCGGCGCTGGGCTCCACGCCGGGTGTGGAGCCTACTTAAAAAAGAAAAAGTTATTTCCTAATAAAATCAACCCCACTGGCTCTAGAATTATCTTTGTGGGGGAAAAAAAGAAGACCTCTTTTCTACTCCAACATTCTTTCAAATTCCAAAATACAGCATTCGGCATTTCCTTCCTTAGTTCCTCTCTTCTGACGCTTTTATGCATTTCAAATAATGGCATAGTCTCAAGGTAACTCAGCATCCAGGACTTGCCCTGGGCTTGAAGGCACAGAAAACTGAAGAAACACAGCATTTCATCATATGCCTTGTAGCTGGGAAGCCGTAGAAAACAGAGTTTCTGGGGAGAAATAGAAGACTCACGTAAAGCTGCTGTGGCTCATCCAGAATGACATTATACCCTATCCTAACAGAAAGGCATGTTGCCAAAGCTTGAAAGCATAAGCTATTCCTAAAATGGTGTTGCACTTCTATATTGGAACTATCATCTGGCAGCCACGGTGACAGAAATGGATGGAGTGCTGGAAACTATGAACATTCACTCAGAAGAGAGACTTTATTATTGTTATTGTTGTATATTTCCCTTTTCCCTCCTTCAACTTTCTCCCTCCCTCCCTTCCTTTAGGTGGCTGAACCAAAATTACATATGAATAGTATTAAATAGCTCGTTATACGAGTACAACTTACCATGGGATCTGTCCTTGGGGACATAGGCTTTTGGGTGAAATGAACCCATACGGAAAAACATCCAGACAGATTTCAGGAGGAGACCAAAGGAAGGCATCTGAGCCTTCCTGCTTTAGCTAGTGTTCTCCAAGGTTAACAAAAATGCTTTATAACATGTCTATGAGATACTTTATAATATGGCTATTTTCAGACAACGCTTCTTAAGATGGATTCAGATCTAGGGAAAACCTGTACTGTGATGGAAAATAGGGAAGGATGCCTCCTTATTCCCAGAAACTTCAGGAAATTTTTTAAATTTTTGAGTCTAGTTGATGGCAGTGATGAAAGCGCTCATTTGAAACTCTTCCATTCACGAAGCAGCAATTTCACCAAGAGGTAGGTGGTAGGTAGGGAAGGACAGGGCATCATGTTCCAGGAGGGATAAAGAGGAGAGGGTGGACTGAGGGACCAATGGAGGAACACCCACCTGAACGCTTTCTTCGAGCTCAACAATACTTGACAATAAGGACTGGATTCTTCTAGGGCTTGTGTGGCAGCTGCAGAAAGCATAAAGCCAGCAACTATGTGGAGAGGGACAGGTATGGATTATATCTGATGGGTGTCGGTCCAAATAGGAGCTAGGTGTCTAAAAAGTTGGTCACCATTTACTTTTTTTTTTTTTTAAGTTCAGATAGTCTTTCTATTGTCATGTTTTTTCTTTTTTAATTTCTTTTCCTGACTCAGTATATTTGCCTTTTATTACATCATGATTTCAGCTTTCATCTTCGTTTCACAGATCCATGTTTTCCTGAATTTTATGGGACACAAAGTAGACATTCCCTAAAGTTGACTTCTGTTGCCGTTAGTACATTTTATTTTCAAAAGTGAGTCCTTTCTCTGCATTTTGAGTGCTGTATTCTCTGCGTTCTTTAATGCTCACTCTTTTTGTTGATATATGTATTTTTTCTGTTTAGTTGTTCTTGAATAAAGAGAGGTGAATGCCAGCTGGGTGTTCTCCATAAACACAGGGACCGTGTTCTAGGTTTCCTTTATGTCTTGCCAGGGTGTTGATAGAATCTTTTGCTCATCGCATAAGCCAGAGAAACGGGAGTAGGTATGAATTTCTAGTACGTCGTATGCATCCTAACCGTGCTTTGTTCTGTATTGTTTCTTCTCTGGATTTGTTGAAGCCGCTGGGTTATGCGTTTGCCTCTGTTCACAGCCTTCTGTCAGGGCAGACCTTCACACATGGTTGTGCCTGTGTGTATGTGGTACTACTGGTGACTACATGAGGATGGAGCCCACACTGTTGGTTTTCTGCTCCTTGTGGCACTGAGCCTGGGACTTTCTAGGGGAGATGGTTGTCAGTGCTCTGATCTGAACTGTTGAGTGGGATTCCAGGTGATGCATTCCCTGAGTGCCTCGCTCCTGCTTTGGCCCAGGGCCCTGGCTGCCAGATTCCAGGATGGTAAGAAGCTCTTCTAGACTTGCTTACCCTGATATTGTGCTTTCCCAGGAGTGGGAATCGTTAATAATCGTGGATTCAAAGCAATACTCTGTATGATGTTCTTGATCATTTCAATTGTTTTTGACTCATTATAATTGGTTTTTAGTTCATGAAAGTGACGTAGGAAGCCCTTCTACTAGGAATAGGAGCTTCTCTTAGGAAACGAAGTGACAGTCATTTTTATTTACTTGACCTTGCATAATTAGCATTATATTTCATCTGCCACTTTTAAAAATATCGTTTGAAACTACTTGCCTATTTTGTAAAGACGGGCTTAGTTAAATCTAGGTCACGAATCCACAGTCCATTTAATGGGAGACCCAGGAATCTACTCCCACTCTTGAAAGATCACTATCCTAGAATATGCCTTCAAGTTTTTTGTTTTTGTTTTTTGGAAAATCATATTAATGATGAAGTTTTGAACTTGTCCACACCTGAGAATATATTTGTTGGCATTTCTACTAAATATAGATCTAGGCATAGATATTTTAAATTACACCACATTATTCTCAAAAAATGGTATTACTGTTAAATGGCTTTCTGGTATCTGGCATGGTAGAATTCTATGGGCAACTTACATTTCTGTTACTTTGTAAGTCGTATATTTTATTTTCTAAGATTTGCAAGTTCTTTTCTCTATTCTTTGAAATAAAAAATTACAACAGCATATAATCGATGTTTTTATGTATTTTTTTTCTGGTTTTATCTGATCCCTTTTCATCTGCTTATAAAGATTTTTCTTCAGTCTAGGAAAACTTATTTGATTAAAGCTGCTTGAGTTTGTTTATTTCTTATGGAAGCCCTATTACAGGTGGACAAGATCATCTGGTTCTTATTTCTATTAGTCTTAGATTTTGCCTAGTCATTTTTTACTTTTTGTTGTTTTCCTCTTAGGTTTTGAGAATTGACATGGGTCCTATTATAGAGTCATGTCAATTCCCGGTAGAATCTTCAAGCCCCAAATGAAGGGAGAAAATAAAAAAATTCTTAAATTTACCCTCATTTTACTTTGCCAGTTGAGAGTCCAGACAGCTTGGGGGTAGTTGGGCCCCTAGAGGTGAGAGTCAAAATTAGAGGCAGGCCTAGCCAGGAATGTGTTTTGCTAAAGAGCTTCCAATCCTTATTTGGAATAGCTCGCAGGGCTCACAGCTACAATCTCCCCATTCTTTGGCAGACTGGCTGTCCACTCTGTGTGAGTGACTGGTAAGCCCTTCCATGCCAACTCCCTGTCCTGCTGCCCCTGAAACCCAGAACACTTCCTAATGGGAGCCACCGGGCTGATCCTCACCTCCAGGCCCACAGAGGGCTCTGCTGGTTTCCCTGTTACATGCTGGAGATTCACAAATCAAGAAGTGACCACCCTCAGTCTAATTTCTACGGTATTTTACATCATTGAAATTCCTTGGAATTTCTTTTGTATGGCTGATCCTACTGTTGAAGGTTGATCCAGAGTTTTTCCTCAATCTTTATTGCTGGTCATTTTCATGGAGATCTGGAGGGGAGTAGTTTACACCTTGCCAAGAAGTGAACTACTCTCTCTTATGATGGCAAATCTTGAGGATATTTTGAAGTCAGGAAAGTGGAAACAGCCTTGGGAGATGGAGACTTGACACTAATCTTAAGTATATTGCTAGGATGTTTCCCATCTGGTTGCCTGTGATGATCAAGGTCACTGAATAACAACAATGGCAATAATGGTAATAATTGCCTTTATAAAAACAACCAGGAAAGGGGAGATGTTGGTCAAAGAGTATAGACTTTTAGTTTTAAGATGAAAAAGTTCTGGGGATCTGATGTGTTTTGGTGATTATAGCATGGTGATTATAGTTAGCAAGTTACTAGTTTCAAGTATTGTATACTTGAAAGTTGCTAAGAGTTAAATCTTAAATGTTCTCACCATAAAAAAAGTTATAATTGTATGAGGTGTTGGATGATGTGTTAACTAACCTTATTGTGGTAATCATTTTGAAATATATATGTGTATCAAATCACCGTGTTGTACACCTTACACAATGTGATATGTTAATTATATTAAATAAGGCTAGAAAAAACCCACATGGTTGATGTGAATATATTATGATTTAATCTTTATATCAACTTAGAGCATTTGATGGTTGGATCTCTATCTTTTAGCTGACACTCAGAGAAGTTAAATATCTTGCCTGGTATTACATAGCTAATATGTTGTGATGTGGGGCTCAAACCCAAGGTTGTCCTCAAAGCTTCTGTTCTTTCCTTTGCTGGCTGTCAAATGGCCTGAGGAGTTGTCCAGCCTCCACATCTTTGGTATTTACAGTGTTCTCAGATACTGGACTTTGATCATCTCTTGTCATTTTATTGCTCTCATATATACTAACCCCTTCTCTGTGGGGTAATGTTGATATAAATAAGATAGCCTATATTATCATTTCTCTTACACTGTCTGGAACACTTGACTAGCAGCGGGGGATGATCTTGTCTTTAATACTTTGGTTTACTATCCAGCCTTTCTCTCTCTCTCTTTTTTTTTTCTTTAAAGCTGGGGTATTTATCTGCCCCTAGAGGAATTCCTCCTGTCCTGTAAAATAGTTTATCTTCAGGTATTCCTTATGTAGCCCTCTATGGGTATTTTGGTGCTCTGAATCTCCTCACCTGTCTTAGAATACCCATTGACTACGAGGTTGCTCATGCAGGCTCATGAGGCTGGTCACTGCTGAATGAACATAGTATAATCTTTAACATGGCAGAATCTCAAGTAGTATTTTGTGATGTTGGTGCTGCTCATGCTTTACTACATCCAATGAGAACAAAAAAATTCAAATTAGAGAAGCAGCAAAATCATTGCTAATTTAGGGAATTCCTAGAAAGATAAAAGACAGCTAGAAAGTCTTGGGGGTGGTCTGTGCCTGGTGGATGAGAACATTTTTGTTCTTGCTTCACAATGGCAAAAATGTATGTATTTATTTTATAACTTGAGAAATACCAGTATTTCTCAGCTCCCTCATTAGATTTGTATTTTCCTTCCAGGTAAACTGGAATAAATAAAAACATTCTATGGCTGTAAAATGTGTCGCTGTAATTGTGGGATTATTCTTTGTTCCCTCTATTCTAATTTAATCATGTTTTTTTTCCCCCTAGGTTACGGTCTTTGGTCAAACAATTAGAGAGAGGCGAGGCTTCGGTGGTAGATCTTAAGAAGAATTTGGAATATGCGGCCACAGTTCTCGAATCTGTGTACATTGATGAAACCAGGTAAGCTAAACATGACAAGACGTGAGTATACTGGGGGTCAGTTCTCTGTTATGTGGCTTTTCTGAAATGTCCCCCTTGGCCTGTAGTGGGGTAGTGCTCAAATGATGGGTGACGGAGCTTTCGTTTCCACAAAACGAAATTTGGACCTCTCCTAGCCTCGGTGCCTCCTCATCTGAGAAAGGAGCTAACTGAACTTTTCTCACATGGTCATTATGATAATGGAGTGAGATAATGTAAGAGGAGAAGTGATTTTTAAAAATATGGTAAGATTTCTTATCAAGTGTAGAGTTCCACTGTAATAATTGCACGCTGTTAGCCTCAGCCTAAAAGTTATGTTCATGTGTTAATTCACATTGTCTTTAAGTGGAGGTTCCTGAAGTGACGATAAAGCATTTATCCTCTTAAGGACCCAGAATTCCTCCTGCAATCTTGTGTGTTACCAATTTTCTTAATAGACTCCACCTGAATTATCCAAACGTCTTAAAGCACTTCCCGTCACCAAATGCATTTGAAAGTAGCAAAAGAGCTTTTCTTTTGAAAAATGTTAACCTGGTGAATTTAAAAGGCTTTTTTTCTCTTTCCTAATTCAGGCTCCTCTATCAGTCTTAACTTCTCTATGCCAGATTCCAATCTGAAAGGATTTCCCAGTAATCTAAGAATTAGTATGCATGTGGTTTAGTTTTTGGTGACTTGCTTGGTTCCTAATTTAAGGAAATTTGATATCATAGTTTTTTCCAAATGTTACATTTTCTCCCCCGCCCCCCAACTGATGTGTCTAAAGGAAAAAAAAAAAACAACAACAATCTTTTTTTTAAACTTTTTATTGATACCTGTTTACACTACTTATTTTTAGTAGGGCTTAATATAAGTATAAAGTGCAATTTTATTTTAACTTACTATTATTTATGTTCTCTTCTGGTGGTCTGACCTATGAACAAGTTTGAAAAATCAGCCAAGCACATCTTACAGATGACTTAAATCACTGAGCTCAAATAAAGAACTGCATTATTTTGGAAATTTTGCTTGAATTTAGAATTTACACTTCTGTAATGTTCTATCAAACTAGAAGGAATATCAGTTGATATCATTTTGGTTTATTACTTCAGAGGACTGGGTTGATGTGATTTGGGCAATGTTTTACAAAGTCTTTCTTTTTCTTTTTTTTTTACAATTA